CATCAGTGCAGTTCATTATCACTGGTGTACAATAAATAGAAAAATAAGGATAATTTAGGGAGTCTTTCATTAAGATGACTATATTTGACTTAAAAGTCTATCTTGTAAGATGTTTTTCTATTCCTATTTTTAAGCTAAACTGTCCTTTCCTTTATGAAATGATGGAAGTTGGAAATGCAACTCTTTTTGTTCACTGCTTTGTGAGGATTAAAAAGTAAATGCAATACATGTTCCTTGATTAGATCCTAGATTTGGGAAAATTAGTAGCAGTGGTGTGCTGGAGCCAGCTCATAGGAGCTCCCCATATACCATCTCTTCCCAGTGCTGCAGTCATTGATCCCATGTTGGTAGCTTATCTGCCATTGTGGAATAGTCACATCATGGAAATCAGGCACTCCCCCCCCCCGCCCAAGACATGTTAAACACTTACAAGGACACCACTGGTTATAAGAAACTTTATTGGAACAATTGGGCAAATTTTAATATAGACTTTGCATTAGATGATATTATTGTGTTAGTGTTAAATTTCTTGGGTGTGATATAGTATTGTTGGAGGAATCAGGTATTTATTGTACTATACTTTTAACTTTTCTGTAGATTTGGAACTTTCAAAAATGAAAAAAAAAATGGAGGGAAAAGACGAGATTTAGAATTACAAAATGTCAGAACCAAAGGCATATCAAAGCCCTTTAATCTACAGATAAGGAAACCAAGGCTTGGCGGGTCAAGTAACTCTCTAAACATCATGTGGACAATAAGTATCCAAGGCAGGATGTGAACCCAAGTGTATAGTTTCCATTTTCTATGAAAACATTTGCTAAAAAAATGAAATAAAAACCTTTTCTCATAATTGTCTTTTTTTCTGGTTTTAAATAAAGCAAACGTATTACCTTAAGAGATGCAAAACACTGAAATGTATTTTTCGTTTTTTCCCCCATAGATATGTAGGATTTTGTATGAAATTTGTAAATATGTTACTGTCTCATGGGATCAAGCCTATTCTCGTATTTGATGGATGTACCTTACCATCTAAAAAGGAAGTAGAGAGGTCTAGAAGAGAGTAAGTTAATTCTCTGTTTAATCTCTAACTTAATTGAACTAACTTAATTTACCACTTTAAAAAAATTTTTAATTCATTTAGGTTGTTTTATAGCCTAGTGCATGAGCAAATTTCCTTAAATATTCTGTGTGTGATAGGTTATATCACACTTTTTTTTTAGTTCCTGCATTGCTGTGGAAAAGTCTGATGATAATCTGTGTGTGTGCACTTGTGCACACATGCTATAAATCACTTGTTCTTTTTGCCTAAAAACCCAAAGGATCTGGGTCAGTATTCTCAAGGACCTAGTGTGCAGTTTCAAATGAGTCAAACTTTTTATTTTTTATTTTTATTTATTTTTTTAAAGATGACTGGTAAGGGGATCTTAACCCTTGACTTCATGTTGTCAACACCACACTCTCCCAAGTGAGCCACAGGCTGGCCCCAAACTTTATAGTAGAAACATTTCTTGAATTACAGTTTTATTATAGTTCCTTAAATCAGCTTCTTAAATATTTTTTTACATTTAAAAAATATTCTTCTTTTGCAGAAGACGACAAGCCAATCTGCTTAAGGGAAAGCAGCTTCTTCGCGAGGGAAAAGTCTCAGAAGCCCGAGAATGTTTTGCCCGTTCTGTCAATATCACACATGCTATGGCCCACAAAGTGATTCAAGTAAGCACCTAGAAAATGAAGCCAAAGGAACAAACGACTAAGTTCCTTTAAACTAGCTATAAACTGTTTTTTTTTTTTTCCTTTTTGTCTTTTTTTCGCGTCCGGCAACGGATCGCAACCCTCAGTGTCGCACCCATACCGGACCGGTACTGGCAACGGGACCGCAACCCTCGGTGTTGCGCCCACACCTCGCTCAGCCAGTGAGCGGGAACCGGTCTGTATGTGGGATCTGAACCCTCGGCG